GTAAAAACACAAAAAACACAGTATTAGTCATTATAATCAGTAATTATGTCCCCACTGGATGCAACAAATGCAATGGGTTTTTGAATCATCGCTCCGGCCTGCAGGGCATCATCACAGTATGGTGAGGGGCGTATCATTTCCGTCTCACGCTTGAGGTATTCGGCCAATCACAACGCACTGGATAGCTGGCCAATCAGAGCACACCTCGCTTTTCAGACTGATGAGCTTTGTAAAAATTGACGCGTTTCAGAAAGGCGGGGCATAGAGGAGAAACAATAATGTACAGTATGTGGAAAATAATGTGTTTTTTTAACCTTAAACCGCATAAACATTTCATTACACCAAATAATGGCAATAAAGCTCATTCTGATTCTGATTCTGATTCTGATAATGTTCTTTTTAGCAGCATCATATGACCCCTTTAATGAAGGATTTGTTTCTTACAAAAAACACAGCTTTTGTCTTCTCCAGATGTGAACTGATGGACTGGAGTGGTGTGGATTACTTGTGGATTATTGTGATGTTTTTATCAGCTGTTTGGACTCTCATTCTGACGGCACCCATTCACTGCAGAGCATCCATTGCTGAGCAAGTGATGCAATGCTACATTTCTCCAAATCTGATGAAGAAACAATCTCATCTACATCTTGGATGGCCTGAGGGTGAGGACATTTTTTTAGCAATTTTCCATGTTTGGGTGAACTACTCCTGTAACACCACAAAATGAGTGAAACAATCCCACAGAGAGGAAAGACACCTGCAGTGTTAAGAGAAGTCATACATAACAGCTGATACATACAGTTAAATACTTAGGCATAGATCAGCGCAGCAAGTCACTGTGTTCCCTAAACACACACAGTAATTACTTTAACACGCCAGCAATTTCTAACCACAAATACTGGAATTTAAAGAAATAAAACACTTTCTAATGCATTATATTTACCATGGCATGTGCTACCGTGTTTATATCAAGAGAAGTATAGAACTAACAGATAAGAACTAACGCCATATGGTTTTGGTTAATGAGTACAAAAAATCTTACAAAAAACACAGCTTTTGTCTTCTCCAGATGTGAACTGATGGACTGGAGTGGTGTGGATTACTTGTGGATTATTGTGATGTTTTTATCAGCTGTTTGGACTCTCATTCTGACGGCACCCATTCACTGCAGAGCATCCATTGCTGAGCAAGTGATGCAATGCTACATTTCTCCAAATCTGATGAAGAAACAATCTCATCTACATCTTGGATGGCCTGAGGGTGAGGACATTTTTTTAGCAATTTTCCATGTTTGGGTGAACTACTCCTGTAACACCACAAAATGAGTGAAACAATCCCACAGAGAGGAAAGACACCTGCAGTGTTAAGAGAAGTCATACATAACAGCTGATACATACAGTTAAATACTTAGGCATAGATCAGCGCAGCAAGTCACTGTGTTCCCTAAACACACACAGTAATTACTTTAACACGCCAGCAATTTCTAACCACAAATACTGGAATTTAAAGAAATAAAACACTTTCTAATGCATTATATTTACCATGGCATGTGCTACCGTGTTTATATCAAGAGAAGTATAGAACTAACAGATAAGAACTAACGCCATATGGTTTTGGTTAATGACTACACAAAAGATTTTATTGTACCTTTTTGGCATTGGATTTGGGCGACTTGTTTCGGGGAGACTTTCTCAGAGTGGAGTCCCGAGGAGACTTGCCGGCCACCGCCGAACGCAGGGCACGACTGGCCACGGCGGGAGATTTTCGGGCGCTGTTACGCAGCTTGTTGAGGCCACGCTGCAGCCTGCTGTCACCACGAGTGCTGTTCTTTGGAGTATTTACAACAGTGAACATCACAGATTGCCTTCGCTCGGCCTAGTAAGAGGAAACCGAAATATTATTACTCTACATTATTTTACACAGCTGTCTAAATGAACACACACAATATGCTTCCATAGAGCTGTTCAGCTTATAGCCCTAAAAACCAAAAAACAAGTAGCATTTGTGAGGTACGTGTTCTAGGGATATTTTATAACTATTTTAATCTCAAATACGCCTGTCACGATAACAACTTTTTGTTGTGCGATATATTGCCCCAGAAATAATTGCGATAAACGATATTATTGTCATTTTAAAGACAATTGTATGCCACTGAATATATAATCATAACGTAACAGCATAATAATGCAAGAAGGCCTACACACTTCCAAATGACAACAAACTATAGAATATTTAGATCATGGAAATTAAATATCAAAATATTAGATACCTTAAAAAACTTGAATAAATAGTAAATACACATTTTCTAACAAAAAGTGCAAAGTAACAAGTAGAAAAAAGAAAAATGCACAAAGAACTTGTATGGAGATTTTTCCATCTACAGATTTTTCCCTGACCTTCTTTTCTCTGTAAATGAAGGGTGCACACTATTGCTGAAAAACACAATCACTACTTAGAAGTCCGTATGCACAAAGGCACAGATCCCTAAACAAGACCATATCTGCAGATAAAGCATTTTTTACATTTGAACTAGCACCTCATGACTACACGTTATGTACGAGAAGCTGCAAAAAACACAGGCGCAAGTGGAATGTACAAAACATGGTGACATTA